TTAGGGTTTAGGGTTTAGGCCAGCTGAGGGTTGCGGGGTTCAGGATTTTAGGGATTAGTTTGGGGTTAATCCCTTCAGGATCGCTCCCCTGCCTCGGCCCCTGTATGGTCTGGCCTCAGGCGGAGACGGACCTTCGGCCCTTCGAAAGGGAGACCATTGAAACCGGTGCTGCCAGCTGGAAACACGGCACTAAGTATGCACTGTCCCGTGGGTTAACAGCACTGTGCTCCACACGAAGCAAGCTCCGCCGCGGCGACTTCAACCTGCGGTTGTCGGACGCTTACCTTTTTCCGGACGCCAGCTGCTAGCAACTGACATGTGTCCGCTCTGTCGAGTCTGGCTATAATTTCGAGGCCTGGACGAGCGGCTACTGTCGTCGCAGTGTGCGAGACGACCAGCCGCCTACCTCCGCATCAGGTGTACCTGGTGCGGGGCGGCGTGGCACTCGTGGGCTGGTTCGTGGCAACCTGTCTAGATTCAAAAGACTCCTGGAGTGTCGCTGACTGGGCAACGCGTAAATCCGATGCATATCTGGATCTGCATGCTTTAAACCTCAGGCGTGGCGATATCCTTGTTACGCGGTCACCGACGTGCAGCTGCTGGAGGCCGTGGCCCCCCGTCCTGACGTGGCGGTCGCCGACAACGCCATCACCTACAGCGACAAGGGCCACGGAAACACGCTGATGGCTGGCAGGGCACTCGGCATCTAGACTGGCCTGAGCCAGCATGCACCGTCAAGTCATCTGTCTGCGCGAGCCCTCTCGACTCCTTTTTAGCACAGTCTCTACGTTGCTGTGTGGGTGGCTACAGGTGGCGACCTGGACGGGGATCATGTCCACGCGAGTTTCTGGAAGAAGCTGGTCAACCTCATGCGAGCCACCCAAGCGGCCGTCGAGCGGCTCGCCTCGCTCCGCTGGCGGCTCGAGGCGGATGTCATTGGCTCAATGACCGAGCCTGCCACCGCGTGGGGGGGCGGCGACGTGGAAGCCCGAGGTCGTGCACCTAAGCGGTGTGCTTCCAGGATGTGCTGCTGTACGTGGTGTGTAAGGTTCTTTGTAGTGTGTTGCCAGTTGAGTCTGTCGGATGTGCGGCTGTAGGTGCTGACTTCCTGTCGCATGCCCGCACGGCCAGCTCCTATAACGTGAAAGGGCACATGTGCGGCTTGCTGGAGCGCCTTGTTCACGGTGCACTGC